CAGAACTAATTTGCATTTTGGATAATAATCATATTCACTATCAGTTTTCTACAGCTTAATTTTTGTAAAATAGCTCAAGGCACAAATAACTCATAAGGTTGTGCTACACTGGACATCCATCTTTTTTGCCCATTTTCAAAGTCTTTTACCATTTTTCTTATATTCTTACCTGGGTCGAGGAGAAGACCTTATTTCTTCTTTTATTCATTTTCTTCTTCCTTTCTAACTAGCTTCCAGAATATCAAACAGAGATCCTTGCTGCTTGTGTAGGTAGACAAAAACTTGTAAACAATGACAATTTTCAGCCTTTATTGCTATATCTGTTACAAGCTTTCCCTCTGTCACAAGAAACATGAAACATTCCTTCATGTTCAAAAATAATTTAAAAAGATATTTTCTACAATTAAAAAAAATTTTAAGGAGATTTTTTTCAAGAAAAAATACTTTCACTTATTTACCAAATATGTACATGTAGGACCCTGAAGGTATGGCCACTACCTGTCTCTCCAAACTCACCTGTGCCTCTTTTCTACTCATTCACTACCTTCTACTGTCTTTTCATTTCTAGGCACACTCTTTACTGCTTTAGAAACTTTTGTATGTACTTCCCTCTGCCTGGAATTCTCATTCCTCCACACTTCATATGGCTGAATCCTTTTCATTCTAACCTCCTCTTCTAAAATGGCCTTGTTTTATTCTTCACTTCACCCCATCATTCTCTATCCCAGCATTTTTCTCATTTCCTTTATAGCATGTACCATACTTTATATTATTTTATTTGTTGGTTTACTTATTGTAAGCTGTCTGCTTTAGTTAAATATAACAGAACATCTTTGTGTCAGTGACCATATCTCTCTTGTCACCATTAAATCTTTAGCACATGTAGCATTCCTGATACATAATTGCACTAAAAAATATTTGTAGAATGAACGAATGAATGAATGAACGAATGGCATGTGCTATTCATTAGGGTTTCATTATAGTTATAATGTACAGAGTTCCTATTCTCACAGACTCTATAGTCCAATAAAGGATGCATATCAGTTATCAGGCAGTTTTATAAGGGCACGTAAGAAAAGTCTGGAGATTTCTGCTCTTGCAGTAATGGAGTGGCTTATTTGGATCAATCTTCCTCCCAAGAACAACTATAAAAGCTATATTAAATTGTTTTTAAAGAAGAAGAAAAGGGAAAGATATCAGAAAAAAAGTGAACCGCAGCCCTGGCTGGTGTTGCTAAGTGGTTAGAGCATCAGTCCATGTACTGAAGGGTCTCGGGTTCGATTCCCAGTCAAGGGCGTGTACCTGGATTGCAGGTTTGTTCCCCAGCCCTGGTTGGGGCACAAGTGAGAAACAACCAGTCCTTGTGTCTCTCTCACATTGGTATTTCTCTCTCTCTCTCTCCCTTCTGCTCCCCCTTTCCTTTCTCCCTTCCATTTTCTCTAAAAATCAGTGGGAAAATATCCTCAGGTGAGGATTAACAACAACAACAAAGTAAACCACAGAGAATAAAACTGGAATTTTTCACCATGTATTTCTTCATGGCATTTACTAATTTCTAAGCCAGGGGAGAGGGAAGGTATAATGTTTCAGGAGGCCAAGAAACCAAGCCTAAAAGAGTAACTAAGAAATTAAGAAAATGAAGAGAATTTTTCTCAGTCTTAGGAGTTCAGAGCTTGTCATAGAAGATGGGCCTTGGCAAATATCTCAGGTTTTCATCTTAAACCCTTGAAGGGCTATGCTCTATGAGTAAGGACAAACTGGAAATCAACAAGCCTTCACAGAAACTGAAATCTCCCTCAAATTATATCAATCTCTGATTAGATCAAAGTAATCTTAGTTTACCTTAACTGACTGCCAGAAGAAATTAAACACTTTCTGGAGGAATATATCATCATCCAGAGCCTCTTCAATTTTTTTCTGCTTCAGTTTTTAAAATTACCAGCCAAAATGACTAAAATTTAAGAAAGAAAGACAAGATAGGAAAGCCCTAAAAATGATGGAGTTTAAAACACTGTAATTAATGTGTTTAATAAAAATAAATGACAAAATAAATTTCACTAGAAAACTAGAATGTACTCAAAAGAATTAAATGAAAATTTTAGAAAAGGGATGAAAAAAAACAAAAAAATATATGGGATATGGGGAAAGGTCTAACATATATGTAATTGGAGTCTCAGAAGGAAAGGAAAGTAAGCAGAAGCAGTATATAAGAGATACTGCCAGAGAGTTTTTTAAAACTAATAAAAGACATCAAGTCAGAAATTCAAGGAGCTCTGCTAATCTCAAGCGGGATAAGTACGAAGAAACCATACTTAATCAATTATAACAAAACTACTGAAAATCAAGGACAAAGAGAAAATCTTACCAGAAGGACACACTATCTTCAAAGGACCAACAGTAAAATTAACAGAAATGATTTAAACAGAAATGATGGAACTCAGAAAACACAGGAATGACATTTGTAAAGTGCTGAAAAAGAATAACTGCTTGTGTGGAACTGTGAATCCAGCAAAAACTTTCCTCAGAACTTAAAATAAAGACATTTGTAGTCAAACAAAAACTAAGCAAACCTATGCTAAAGTGAATTTTTTAGGCAGAAAGATTATGGAAGCATGGAAATGCAGAAAGGACTGAAGAGCAAAAGAAAAAGTTAAGGATTAATATGTAGGCAAATGTGAGTGCTGACTGTATAAAATAATAATGCCTTGTGATGTTTAATATATATCTATAGATATATATTAAACATAAATATAGAGTATATATCATCTGTATAGTATATGTAGAAAAGATATATATAATACTTAAAATGAATATAGACTTTATAGTACATTATAGCACAAAAGCAGAGAGGAATTAGTGGAGTAAACATGTTTTAAATTTATTGTATTATCTGGAAAGTGATAAAAATACCAAATTGTGGTAGACTGTGATAAATCAAAAATGCATATTGTAATCTCTAAAATAATAATGAAAGATTGTGTAACTAATAAGCTAGTAGAAGAGAAAGAAATTAAAAATAATAAAAAATTGGTGAATCTAAAAATTGTCATTCTGGATTTAAATAAACAATGAATTGCATGATATGTACAAGGAGCATACATTAAATTTAAGAACACAGCTCATTGGCAGTAAAAGATTAGAAAAAATTACAATGAAAGATAGCTGGTGTGGCTTTTTGGTATCAGAAAATTAGGGTGAAAAGGATTGCTAGATATTAGGAGGGACATTTCATATATTTAAATGCATCAGTTTATCCGGAAAACACAACATATCTAGATTTGTTGCATCTAATGATATAGCCTCAAAGTAAACATAAAAAAATAATCTATCACCCAGCCCCAGAAACTCAGATGACTGAGACTGAGATAAGGGTGGGGTGGGAAGAGGAAGGCAGAAGTATTCCAGACAGATGGAAGAACATTTTCAAAGACTAGAGGCAAGAAAGCTTTAAAAACTTGAAAGCAGTTTAGTCTTGCTGGGAAGGAGAGAAGGAGGAAGGGGAGGAAGAGAAGAAGGAAGAGAAACTGAGAATGATTGATTGAGGAACGGGACTGGAAACCAGGAGTCCTTCAAGTATCATGTAGTGACCTGATGAGAATTGTTTTCAGGAGATATCTCTTACTACTGTTGGGGGGATGAGTTGGAGGAAGGCAGGACTACTGGCAGAGAGATCTATTTCAGTAATCTAGGTGAGATGGTGTTGGCTGAAGCTATGGAGATAGAAGAGAACCAATTTTTAAAATGTAGTGTCCGAGATAAACCAAAGAACTTATATACATATATGCACAACCAATGGACACAGACATTAGTTTGGGGAAAGCAGGAAGGGGGTGGGAGCAGGGAGGAGGGGGTCAATAGGGGACAGCTGTAATACTTTCAACAATAAAGATAAAAATATAGCCCAGCTGATGTGGCTCAGTGGACTGAGCGTTGTCCCAGTTCGATTCCTGGTCAGGGCACATGCCCAGACTGCCGACTCGATCCCCAATAGGGGGCGTGCAGGAGGCAGCAGATGGATATATCTCTCGCCCATTAATGTTTGTATCTCTCTCTCCCTTCCACTCTCTGTAAAAAATCAATAAAAACATAATTAAAACAAAATTTATTCTTTAAATATACATATGTCATGTCTTCTAGACAAGAAAATGAAAGTACAGAGCCAGGGTTTAAATAATGTTTTATTGGGATATATATATAATCCCAAGCTTGTGAACTATTTAAACATTTAGTAGGTTACTAAACTCACCCTTGGGTAGTGAACAAGAAACTCAGTAATAGATCAAGAAGCTGAGAAATTTTAAGGACTGAAGCTATTTTTTTATTTCTTTTCTGTCTGCAAACCGACTGCAGAGCAGTATTGCCTTTCATTTCCAAAGATCAGGTTTTGTCAGATCACTCTGGGTTAGTCATAACTTAGGCTAGTTGTGTTTTTGTTAGCAATTGTGCTAGACTTTCTGTCTAGAACTCCATCCTACTTTTTATTTTTGATGGTTTATTTAGAATTGGCAATCTGTGGACAGTTATCCAAGTCTCTCCGAAAGGAATGTACATTATTCTAAATCCATTAAGCAGATTAATGTAGGATACACACATGTGGCTGCCTTGCCCAGGCACAACTTCCTAAGCCACATTTGTTGACATCCTCAGACATAAAATTCTGTCTTGATGTCAATAACCCATCAAGTAATGATTTATATGTTAATGTGTTTATTTGGTTTATTAGCTAAGTACTACTACTAGGGTATACTTTTTATGAGGACAAGAATATTGTCTCTTTTATTCAAGGCTATATCCCCTCTACCTAGATTGGTATTCAACATATAACAAGTGATCAATAAATATTTCTTGAATGAATAAATGAATGGCTGAGGAACGAAGAAATGTTTGACTTGAGGGTTTTTTAATTTTAATGTTATAAATTCATTTTATCTTCATTAAAAGTTTTGAAAGTCTGGTATTAGAATGTCTGAAGGTAAAGTGATTGTTTTTCATATTTGCAGGACTATCTCAAGCAGGTGCTGGACATTGATCTTCATGCTCAGATCCATTTTGGCAGGGTTTTTATGAAGCCAGGGTATGAAAATAATCTTGTTCTCTCATATATGGGGTTGGTGTGTCTTGCTTTGACTAACAAAGCTTTAAATTCTTTCCTTTTATATACTCTATTATGGTTTATCTATTCTAATAAAAGAAATATTACAGTATTAGAATTCTTTGCACAAGTGCAGCTTCTATCTGAAATGGCTATTCATGATCCTTGTGAATGACTGATTTAAGTATAAACAAAGCAAAGCAACTTTCCAAACCTTTTCTCCTTTAATTCCCATGTCTAGTTCCTTCTTTCTCCTTTACTCTTTCCCTCCACATTGATTCGTTGTCTCTCTTTAAAAACATTTTAATATGAAAATGCTCAAACATACACAAGAATAGGGATTACAGTGAATCCCCCCATCAACCCAGTTTCTGTAACTATCAACTTTTTTTTATAATTGTTTCATCAACCCATCTGTCACTTTTTTGTGGGGACAGAGTGCTAGACTATTTTAAAGCAAATCCTACACATGTATTTTTGTATACATCTCAGAGAATAACAACAACAGTAGTGTTCTCTTATATAATCACAATGGTATTACCTCACCTAACAAAATAAATAAGAATACCTTAATATCTAATACGCTGGTCATATTCAAAATTCTCCTACATGTCAAGAAAAAGAATGCCTTCTTATAATTGTTTTGTTTGAATTAGGAGTCAAGTCAGTTCACTCATTTATTTGGCTGTTAAAGAACATTTACTGCCCCCTCCTTTTTTTTGTCATGCTGTTAGCTTGTTGAGGAAACTGAATCATTTGTCCTAAACAAATGAATTTAGCTGATTATTTGTGGTTGTATTTAATTTGTTCCACTCTCTCCAGGATATTCTATAGACTGGAAGTTAGGTCTGAAGGATTGATCAGATGCAGATTCAACTTTTTTTCTTTTGCAAGTTTACTTCATAAGTAATATTTCATACTGCTTCTTACTGCCTCCCAGGAGGAAAGAAAAAAAAAAATCACACACCAAGATCTTGCACATCTCCTAAAAACTAGTAACTCCCTAAGGAAGGACTGATGAAAGTTCTGTAATCAATTGTAAATCCTCAGAGAATGCCAGACATTGGTGTTGATGAAATATGTGTGGCCATGTCTTCAAGCCTGTTCAGAATCCTTCTACTCTATAAACCTTGGCTCCCTGTTCAAAGGCTCAGTGTGTGGGTTAGCACTCCAGCACACCCCCATGCTGTCAGGGACAACAATAATGCTTCTGTTCAGAATTATACTCTTGGTGGGTACTCATGTGAACCCTAAAAGAGATTACAGGTGAGACTTACCAGTTGTTACGAGCGATGGGAACTATTTGCATATTCCAGAAGCCTTTTTCAAGCTAGCCCTCATAATCCCCCTGATTTATTGGGTACTCATGACAGTTATAGGAAGAAATCAGGCTTTACCTTTATGACTTTGCCGTTTAGGTGTGAAGTTAAGATTATCCCCGAAGCTTTCTTCACAACTTGATAGAATTTAGAAGTCTTGGCATTTTATTTCTGTAGTTGCCCCAATATGGCTGCCAGTGACAAGGTTCTTTTATTATTGAAATTGTTGGATTTGAATCATTCTTATTAAGGATATTTTACCTTAAGCAAATATTGCTATGGTATAGGACACAGGCTTTTTTATTTTCCTGTCCCTGTGGGCAACACTAATATGATTAGAATACAGAGGACATCTCAAAAGGATGTCAATGTGCTCCTGAATAAACCCCAAAATTAAATTGATATTCCCTCTGCAGTGAGAAAGAAGCTGACATTACTTGACCTCACCGCTAGAAGAGAATTATCTGTGTAATATATATTATTTAAATTAATCTCAGCACCTATAGTGTATAATTTTGGTACTCTTTTCATTTTCAGTCTTTTTTTTTTAACCACTTTCCTCAACTTTGAGAGTTCATTATTTCCTAATGCTTATTCTACTCACTTGAAGTCATAACCCTCTGTGACTTGTATAGGATTGTATAAATTCTATTACATTCTCATCTCAAGAGGAGAATTGAACAATAAGTGTTGAGTTCCAAGGAAATGGCTTCCCAGAGCTTAAAAAAGCTTCAGTCTAGCAATAGGACACTCATGTTAGCAATGCATGATAACAAAATATTTTGTTGTAATGGAATCTTTATTTGAATGAGTGCCTTTAAAGAAATCATAGTACCTATCTGCAAGATGCAAAAGATGATTTACGTTGGCTTTAAATACAATAGATTGAAGGTGTTATGCGTTCCTTCCTCATTCTTATTATATGTGTTAGTTTGCTATAATAGAGTGGTTTAGTAGATTAAATGGGCTTCCTTTACTTCTCCAGAATTCTATACTTGTCTAAAGATAAGATTTTAAAGGTAATTGCTGCTTAATAGAACAAGAATAAATATAAAATCTCAGAACAATTTAGCCTTGCTCTTCCCACACACAGTGCATTCAGAAGGTAATTAACCTCTTTCATTTTTAGACACAGAGATACTAAAAAAAAAGCATTTGGAGTATTATCAACCAGATCTACTAAACACAGTTTTTATGTGTCATCTACAGTGACTATAACTGTTTTTGAGAATGTATCTTGGAAATTATTTTCATCACACGGTAACAATCATTGCCAAATAACCTTATCTGTCAATCAATATGACAATCTAATCTCATTTTTCTAAAATACAGCAAAGAATCAGAAAGTGAGCAAAAAGGCTTTCAGAGTAGCCAGAATCTACATACAGCATACCCTGTACACAGAGGCTCATGAAATTATGAGCCATACAATTAGACCTTGGTTCAAATCTTTGTTTTCCCACCTAGTAGCTGAGTGATTTGGAGCAAATTACATAATCTCTATGAGTTTCCTCATCTATAAAATGGGATGATAATTGTATATACCTCAGAGATTGCTGTGAAAATTAAATGAAATAGCGGATGCAATGCATAGCTGTTTCTTTAAAAATAGTAATTTTTATTATTGCTCTTATTGTAATCATTCCAACAATATAACTGTTATTACACTATCTGGTTTCCAAACCTAAAGCAAGCTTTAAGGTTCAAGATGATGGCAGTCTAGCATTAAGGGGAGCCACAGAAAAACACTAGTAAAAAGAAAAAAAACAGATGTCCTGGCCATGTGGCTCAGCTGGTTGGAGCATCATCCCACACACCAAAACAGCTTTTCAGGTTCAATTCCTGGTCAGGGCACATACCTGGGAGGAAACCAATCAATGTTTCTCTCTCTCTCTCTCTCTTTCTCCTTCTCTCTCTCTCTCCCTCTCTCCTCCACTTAAATCAATAAACACATCCTCAGAAAAGGATAAAAATTTTTTTAAACAAACAAACAAAAGAAAAACAGAAACAAGAACTATAGAAACACTACAGTGTGTGGTATGGGGTTATGGTTTATAAGTGAAAAAAAAAACAAAATCACTGTATTATAGAAGAGTATAGTAAGTTAATAATGATGACTATAAATCATCAAAAAATATTATTGCTAAAGGTAATGAGTGAGTGACCCATTTTTGAAAGACCAACCTGCAAAAATAGTAAAAATGAAAACAATTTGGATGCTTTAAAAGATAATTTTCAACTGTATGGAAATTTTTGCATTCCCTAAGGATTCTACATCACTCAAGTTTCATTAATAAATTGAAAATTTTAGCTGAAATTCTATATTAAAGGGTAGTCAATAGACAAACATTATTATTAACTGCCCACCTTGTCCATGCCACTCACTCACTGCTCTCCATATCCCCATTGCTAAGGATTCATGTCAGAATCTTGAGGAAGTATAATTTGAGAATTTTTTACATTACTATTGCCTTAATTTTGTTCTAGTCATGGTATTTTATTCATTTTGACATTTCAAAACACTCCCTTTATAGGAGGGAGGTTCTTATGTTCATTGCTGAGTACTGTTTTAAAGGGTTGAGAAACCTTCATCTTGAGCAATAGGCAGTTATCTGATAGGTATGTATTCCAAGGTTGTCTTCTGATAATAAGAATGATTGTTAAGAATCTCCAGCAACAGTAGTGTAGACATCATTAGCTAGATGAGTGGAGAAGCTCCAGGACTTGGGATGTTCTTCTATGGTACTGGCAGGAAGGGGGGAAGTAAGCTACAGAAAGCCAAGGAGTTCGGTTACTTGGAAACAGTAGATGCTAAAAACAAATTAATTTAAATCTCTTGAAACACTTCAGGGTATAAAGGTTTAAAGAAACAACAGAAAGTTATTTTTATATGACAAGCTTTCTAAATGGAGAGCCAAGTAACAAGAAAACTAGAGTAGTGAATTTATTCGTCATACTACTTTACAGTCACTAACAATCTATTTTTTTCTCTAGCCTGCCAACAACATTTGCAACTTTGGACATTGATGGTGTAAGAAAAATAATTTTTGCACTACCAGGTAAGAATAATTGAAACAGTTTATTTTGCCTTTTCTGAAAAAAATGACCAATTTTGTTTTTTCTGGTTAATCCTCACTGAAGGATATTTTTCCATTGATTTTTTAGATAGAGTGGAAGGGAAAGAGGGAGGGACAGCGAGAGAAACATGGATATGAGACAGACACATTGATTGGTTGCCTCCCGCATTATACAACTGGGGCCGGGGATCAAACCTGCAACCCAGGTATGTGACCTTGACCAGGAATCAAACCCAAGACCCTTTGGTCTGAGGGCTGATGCTCTAACTGCTGAGCCAAACCAACAAGGGCCCAATTTGTTTTCTTTCTTTCTTTATTGATTTTAGAGAGAGCTAGAAACATCTATGAGAGAGAACATCGATTGGCCACCTCCTGCATGCCCCCCACTGGGGATCAGGCCCATAACCTGGGCATGTGGCCTGACCAGGAATCAAACTGGCAACCTCTTGGTGCATGGGTTGACGCTCAACCACTGGGCCACACCGGCCAGGCCGAATTTTTTTTTTAATCCCAGGTGATCAGTCCCCCATGAGAGCTCTTGATTTGGAATCTAATGGACCCAGGTGGGCTCAAGTCCCAGCTTTACTTGAACAAATCATTTAACCTCACTGAAGGTGTTTCTTCATCTATAAAATGGGGCTCATATTTACTTCACAGGGTTGGTGTGAAAGTTAAATTAGATAGTATCTTTCAGAGCACATTCCAAACCCTATGATGATAACCAAATATTAGCTGCCACCAGGTCTTTCTGGGAACCCTGCTTTTCCTTATAGGAAATTGGTCAAAGTTAGCAGCCTAATCAAGTCCTACAATTTGAAGTATTGTGCTCAAGGGGCCAAAGAGCTGTAAATCATCCATGCAAATGCTAGAACAAAAATACAGAACTGTCTTTGGCTTTTGCCAGATTTGGACTGGTGGGAGGGGGAAGGGCAACATGGAAGGAAGGGCCACTAGTACTGCTACTTCTCAGCCAATCCCAGGCATCATCAGTCTGACCACAGCACTATCCTCACCCTCGCTGCCATGTGAGCAGACTCACATGTTCAGATAGTGGTTATTTCAGGGGGAAGGGGATTTGAATAGCACTTTTTAGTGTTTATCTGTATTTTCTAAAAGGCCAAGTGGTTGCGTTCACAAGGACTTTCAAGTTCAATTTTTCATTGACTTTTAGCTGTGTATTTAAAGCCGTGCTTTTAAAGCCATTACTAATCTTGGTAAATTCTAAAGCAGTTTAGAAGTTTTGTATATCTACTTGTTATTTTTTAAACCCTTAAAAATGTCCCCTCATCTGTAGCAGTGTTCCATTCTCTGTGTTTTTACTACACAGGTCCCTTCAAAAAATAACCTGCTTGTTCTTTCAGATGGACAAACCTGGTGGCTTTGAGATATTTATTTGCTTTTTATATTAAATAAGTCTCAAAATAGAGATATAAAAAAAGAAAGCAGGCAGAAAAATGTAGAGCTTTAAAATCATTTTTTAAAGCCCCAATAAATGTATAAGCATTAAAAGAGGTTAGATAACTATCATGTAAGAAATTTTAAGAGAGAGGACGTGTAAGTAAAGTAAGTAGACTTCAAAATTTGTAGTATAGAACTCCTTAGGGCCTTTAATATATCCTTAGATATTCTAAAAATCATTGTATAAACATATAATCCTCTTTCTAGCTTTAATTTGCCTCGAAGACACTGTTTACTTTGTCTACAGAAGCTTTGACTCAAACTGCAAACCATCAGTGACAAAAGAATGTTAGAATGGGAGCCTAATTCACCATTATTAAGGAAGTATTGTTTATCTACCAAAGAAATTATAATTAAATAACCTACATTCAAATTACTACTTTAATTTGAAATTTTCTCTGCTCAGCCTGATAAAAACAAAAGAGGGCAGCAAGAGCTCACCCATTCAGATTGTAGGAGCAGCAAAGAGGTTCCTTTTAACAAGGATTTTAAAATTCAGAATTATACTTCTGCTTTCCCAAGGGCCATACATTTAAAGCCATTACTAATCTTAATAAGTTTTAAAACAGTTTAAAAGTTTTGTGTATCTACTTGCTATTTTGTAACTTTTTTAAATGACTGTAAAACACATATGTTTACTATAAAAACATTAGAAAATACTGATAAGCATTAAGAAATGTTATCCATGCCCAGCTGGTGTGGCTCAGTGGATTGAGCATTGTCCCATGGACTGAGAGCTCCTGGTTCGATTCCAAGTCAGGGCACATGCTGGGGTTGCAGGCTTGATCCCTATTAGGGGTCATGCAGGAGGCAGCCAATGGATGTTTCTCTCTCACATCAATGTTTCTATCTCTCTCTCTAAAATATAAATAAAAACATACTTAAAAATAAAAAGAAATGTTATCTGTAATCCCCTTCCCCCCTGAAATAACCATATTTGCAGGTTTTTTGTTGTTGTTTTTTTGTTTTTTATCCTCACCCAAGGATATTTTTCCATTTTTTTTTGTACAGATAGAGTGGGAGGGAGAGAGAGGAAGGGAGAGAGAGAGAGAAACATTGACGTGAAGGGACACATCAAGTGGCTGCCACCCGCACGACCAACCAGGGCCGGGGACAAACTGCAACTGAAGTACGTGCCCTTAGCGGAAACCGAACCCAGGTCTCTCCGGACCGCAGGCCGACACTCTAACCGCTGAGCCAAACTGGCCAGGGCCATATTTGCAGTTTTTTATATCAATCATTCCAACCCTATTTTTATAGAGTAATTTTATAAAGCAGTAGCAATTACAGGAATTCTATAATTATTGTTAAATGAACAATAACTTCTGTTTGTTTTTTCAGAAAAATTCCATCTTTTTGTATTTTGAGGCAAAAGAAAAGCAATTGATTCTTATTAAGAGTCTGTAGTTCTGTTGGACAACTCATTTTTCCATTGAAATAATAAGTATCACTCATCACTTTTTACAATTTAAGAAAATCTATTCTTAACTACTTTTGTAGGTAGAAGAAAATTAAAAGTATGATTTTGGCTAATAACAGGCTAAACTGGCCATCGCCTTTTACTTTGGTGATACAATTAGCAGCACATAGCCAGGCCAAGGGAACATAAAAATCTAATAGCCTATCATATATCCCCAGTATATACATATTCACATACAACTGTATAAAAGTATTAGTAAAATTAGAATTTTAGAACCAGAAGGGATGTTAAGAATCATGAACTCCAACTTTTATTTTGTGAATGAGTAAAGTTAGGCTCAAAAAAGTTTGGAACTCATCAGAATCACACAGCTTGGTTCGTCAATATACCACATAAAAAATTAATCTGTAGCCTTGGCCGGTTTTGCTCAGTGGTTAGAGCGTCAGCCTGTTGTAGTTCAGAGAGACCCGGGTTCAGTTCCCGCTAAGGGCATGTACCTCGGTTGAAGTTTGTCCCTGGCCCTAGTTGGGTTTTGCGGGTGGCAACCACTCGATGTGTCCCTTTCACATCAATGTTTCTCTCTCTCTTCCTCTCTCTCTCTCTCCCACTCTATCTGAAAAAAAATGAAAAAATGTCCTCGGGTGAGGATTAAAAAAAAAATTAATCTGTCATTCTCAGCCTAGTCATTTTTTTCATAACCCACTTTTCCTCTTTTTAAAGTGTGTGGCACACCCAGATTCCTTCTTGGAGAGGTACAATTGAATTTCTCACATTTTTTTATAACTGTAAAAGAACTCGATGTTTGAATTAGTCTGCTCATGCTGCCATAACAGAATATCACAGACTAGATGACTGGATTATAGACAACAGAAGTCTATTTTTCTCACAGTTCTAGGGACTAGACTGGAAATCTATGAGCTACATTCAGGCAAGCTTAGTTTCTACCGAGGTTTTTCTTCCTGGCTTACAGATGGCTAGTTTCTCACTATACCATCACATGGCCCTTCCTCTGTGCACTTACCCTCCTGATGTTTCTTCCTTTTTTTATAAGGACACCACTTCTGTTGAATTAGGGCCTCACCCTTATGACCTAATTTAATTTTACTTACCTCTCTGAAGACCCTATCTTCAAATAAAGTCACATTGGGGGTTAAGACTTCAATAAAGGAATAGGAGGGGGGAAAATCACAATTCAGTCCGTACAGTATTTATTGTCAATAAAATCCTTTACATTGAAAATCGTTTAGTTTTATTTATTTTTTTTAATTTAAAGAAATGTCTGGGTAGAGGGGACTAGGGATAAATTTATTTATGCTCTGTCCTACTTTCAAATATTTTTTTTAACTGAGCATGTATTACTATGGAAATTTTAAAACATTTTAAAAATAGCAAGTACACAAGAATAAAAAGGGGGGAATGGGGAACATCCGTAATAGTGTCAACAATTTTAAAAAATAGCAAGTAGAAACAGCTTTTAAACTTACCAAGATTGCTAATGTATAGCCCTCAGGGAAAAAGAAATAAATGGTATTAACCAGCTTCTGGACGTCAGAAGTCTCTGCGTTTCATTGGTAGACCAAAAAGGTTGCGCCCTCTGTGCATTTGGTTGACTGTAGGTCTATTCTGGTATCCTTTTGGATTTAAGGTGATTCAGAAGAGAAAGAAAAGCAGTCACGTACTTCTCTATGATACCTGAAGGTATACATAATTATTTGGTAAATTGTATGTGTATACTGAAATAACTGCTTGGTTGACTTTCAGGAAATCCTGTGTCAGCTGTGGTCACCTGCAATCTCTTTGTTGTGCCTGCACTGAGAAAGATGCAGGGCATCTTGGATCCTCGGCCAACGATCATCAAAGCCAGGGTAATGTTTCTAATAACCAGGAACTGAAATGGAAGCCTAATGACAATTAAGGATATGATCTAGATCTAGAACCATCTAGAATGTTGTATTAGTTTTGAGGGGAAATGTAATTATAGTCTCCCTTTTGAGATAGAAAATATAGAAATAGAGCCCTGACCAGTTTGGCTCAGCGGTTAGAGCATCGGCCTGTGGATCAGAGAGTCCCGGGTTTGGCTCCTGCTAAGGGCATGTACCTCGGTTGCAGTTTGTCCCCAGCCCCAGTTGGGGTCATGTGGGTGGCAACCACTTGATGTGTCTCTCTCACATTGATGTTTCTCTCTCTCTTTCTCCCTCCCTCCCTCCTGCTCTTTCTGAAGATAAATGAAAAAAAAAAAAGGAGAGAAAATAGAGAGGAAAGGGTCCCTTTCATTCCCCTCCCACATTATTCCATGACTTCTAACGTGAATAATTTTCTCTAGCAAGTCCATATGAGAGTGGAAATATAATGACAAAACAGTTAATAGATGTGGCTGGCACTACCCTAACACTAAACCTATATGGAAGGAGGGACAAGAATTCCCTTTCACCTGTGTGAACTCAAAGGACAGTAATTTACCTGCTCACTTTTTCTGAAAGCTCACTGCTAAATTTTAAACAGTTAAGAAAAAGACAAAGGATTAGAAGGAGACTCTAGTGAATCAGAAGGAAAGGGTGACCATTTTGTTTGGCAAAGGACTACCAAGGCTGAGGAATTACACATACAGTAAAAGTCAATTGGAAATTAGAGTCCCCTTCTCTACCACCACTACTACATAAGTAATTGTAAAACACACTTTCTGTGTAACTGATGGACAGTTTTATTAGAAATATAAACTACAATACCAAACCATGACTTTTTAAAGCTTTATTGATCTATAATTTATATACAAAAATTGCACCTATTTTATGTAAGCATTTTGATGTGTTTGGACATTTGCATACACCCATGATATCATCGCCACCATCAAGGTACTAAACGTATGCATCACCTCCAAAAATTTTCTTGTGTCTTACTGGTTTGGTTTGTTTGTTTGTCTCATGGTAAGAACATTTAACATGAGCACTATCCTAACATATTTTAAAGTGCACAGTATCATGTTATTAACTACATGTTGTACAGCAAATCTCTAGAACTTTTTTCACCTTGCATAACAGAAACTTTATATCCATTGAGCAACAATTGCCCATTTCCTCCTCCCCTAGGCCCTGGCAACCAACATTCTATTCTCTGCTTCTATGAGTTTGATTATTTCAGATACCGTACATAAGTGCAATCTGTGACTAATTTATTTCACCCAGAATAATGTACGCTGGGTTGCCAAAAATGGTAGGCTTTCTTTTTTTTTAAGCTGAAAAATATTCCTGTGTGTGTGTGTATGTATACACACATTTTACATATAGACATAAAATGTGTGTGTGTGTATCCATTCATCCATTCATCTGTTGATGGACATTTGGGTTATTTCCATATCTTGGCTATTGTGAATAATGCTACAGTGAACATGGGGATGCAGATATGTCTTTGATTTCAATTTTTTTTTTTTTTTGACATATACCCAGAAGTGGAATTGCTCTATTTTTAAGTTTTTAAGGAATCTCTATGCTGTTTTTTATAGTGATTGTACCATTCTATATTCCCACTAACAGTTTCTCCACATCCTCACCATTACTTATTGTCTTTTTGGCGGGGGGAGGGGGGGGGAGTTAATCCTCACTCAAGGATAGTGTTTTATTGATTTCAGAGAGAGAGGAAGGTAAAGAGAAAGGGAGGGAGGGAGAGAGAGAGAGAGAAACATTGATGTGAGAGAAACATTGATCGGTTTCCTCCTGCACTTGCCCCAACCAGAGATCAAACCCACACCCTAGGTATGTGCCCTCACCTGGAATCAAACCTTTCAGTGTACGGGATGATGCTCCAACCAGCTGAGCCACCTGGCCAGGGCTGGGTTTTTGTTTATTTGTTTGTTTGTTTTTAGTAAAAACTATCCGAACAGGTTCGAGGTTATATCTCATTGTGGTATTAATCTGCATTTTTCTATCAATTAGTAATGTTGAGCACCTTTCATATATGTGATAGCCATTTGTATGTCTTCTTTGGAGAAATGTCTACTGAAGTCCTTTGCCCATTTTTTAATCAAGTTGTTTGGTTTTTGTTATTGAGTTATAGGAGATTTTTATGTATTTTGGATATTAACCCCTTATCAGATAGATGGTTTATAAATATTTGCTCCCATTTCATAGGTTGCCTTTTCACTGTGTTGATTGTTTTCTTTGCTGTGCAGAAGTTTTTTAGCTTAATGTAGTCCCACTTGTTGATTTCTGATTTTGTTGGCTATGCTTTTGGTGTCAAATCTAAGAAATCTTTGCTAAGACCAATATCAAGAAGATTTTCTCCTGTTTTCTTCTAAGAGTTTTACAGTTTCAGATCTTACATTTAAGTCTTCAATACATTTTGAGTTGATTTTTGTGTATTGTATAGATATGAGTCCAGTTTTATCCTTTTGAATATAAATATATAGTTTTCCCAGTACCCAAAGCATTACTTTTCAAGGGCTCTTAAATAAAGTCAGATATGACAGAATGCTATGATTAGTTCACAGGAAGAATATAAAATATAAAAGAAAATGAGGAAATATTAATAAAATATTACTCTGAGAGATTATAGGATAAAAACATTAAGATAATTTAGGCTTCAGATATTTTAACATTGACCTAAATATTGAGACTTGGTAGTCTCCTTAAAATCTCAGTATAAGTTCAACTAGATATTTCTGAAATCAAAGTTTTTTTAAATTTATTTATTTTTCAATAATCACAGTGGTGGTCTTATTTTAAATTAAGTGGAAAAAGAAGAAAAAAGCCATCAATGAATCTGACCAAATCCAAAGGTCAGAGCCATGAAACTTAGATTTAGACATTTAAACCAGTAATTCTGAATTTGCCCATTATTTTCATATTTGCTAAATTTAGGAAATAAGGAAAACCCATATTATATGAGAAAGAAAGAGGACTTCTCTTTGACTTAGCAAAGCTATTGTGAATCTTATCTATTTCTCATTTAAATATCCACCTTCTCTTCTTTAAAACTGACATTGTGGCAGCCATTTGTTCTGATAGTGATTAGACAGTGTTCTGTAATCACTCTGAAGCTTAGTACATTGTGTAGGATGCTGCTCGCTCCTGTTAGCCCATGGAATTGAGAACTGGTCTAAGAATTAGTTAGACTCCTTTTTCCCATAAAGCAGTGTATCTGGGGCTCAGAATGGGTCACCAGTATACTTGGCTGCTTACTTCTTTTGTTTTAATTCCCCAGATCGAACTCCCACATGTTTATTGATTTAACTGTCACTTTAGAACATAACTCTGTTCACTTACTTGAAACATGGTTCAAGTTTATTGTCTCTACTTTCAGACCATCCAAGAAGCAGCTTACAGACAGCTGTTATTACTGTTCTCTGAAATGTTTGCCACAATCACAGCCTCTCTTAATTCCTGTTGCTTTGGGGAAGTGGAGTGGATTTTTTTTTTTTTTTTTTTTTTTTAGAGAGAGAGAGAGAGAGAAGAATTAGGAGGGAGAGAGAGATAGAAACATTGATGAGAGAGATCATCGATTGGTTGCCTCCTGCATGCCCCTAACTGAGGATTGGGCCCACAGCCTGGGCATGTGTCCTGACCGAGAATCAAACTAGTGAGCTATGGATCAACACTCCACCAGTGAGTCACACCAGCTGGGCAGTGGAGTGGATTTTAAATGCTGGTGTCAGTAACTCACACTGCTGGACTGTGTTGTAGCTGTCCTATGGGTAGAGCAATGCTGGATTATAATAAAAGGTCGGTAAAGAAAATGTCATCCTTTTATATCAGCGCATTCTGAAGAGCATCAGTTTACAACAAACATTTGGCCTGTTTCCATGGTCAGGTATGGTTGAAGTTGAAATACTTCTGGTTTTTAATAGACAATCAGAAACATAATCCTAGAAATTCGTCGAACAGAATTATTGACCTAATGTTTCCATAAAAGCACATCCTATCATGTGTTTCCTTATTATTCCATCAGAGCACCCTGTACTGCCCCCCCCCCCCCCGTTCTCAACTTTTTTCACTAGAAACATACCTGAAGTAACTCTTACTAGTATTAACAGCTTACCTCATATCAGGCATTGATTAAGAGAAAGAAAAGGGAAAATACTTCCATCTGCCTTGGGACCAGAACAGCATGTTCTAGGAGAGAACAAGCATGTTGGAACTTCACTAGACTACTGTAATTTGTCCACCTGGCCGTCTCTCGGCATGCCGGGATCGGTGCAACGCAATGAACCTACAACCACACGCTGGTTGGGGTGAGAGGGAGATTTGCAAGAGAGCAAATGATCCAGTTCTCTGGACACAGTTCCATTTATTTGCAGATTGGTACCCCCAGGTTACAAATGTTTTTAAGTAAATTATATCCTTGAGATGGCATTACTGCATACACCCTAGCTTTGTCTCTTGTTTTTTAAAGGAAGAGACCTTGAAGCCAAAAGATAATAAACCCTTATTCACATGCAAATGAAATACCCAGTACACCTGGGCAGGCAAGGTGCCCCACCCCTTGCTAGGATTCCGAGAATGCATTAACACAAGGTTGAGAGTGCCTAACGCACGATTAAAAAACATCCATCTTCCAACCCCCCAACCCCACACACCTTCCCTTGTCTCTTGAACATTAGTGTCCTGAATGATATAAGAACTTGATTAATGCTTTCTGACTGATGTCATAAACAATAAAATACAAAGCATTTCAACAAAATGTTTATATTGTTTGAAAATTGCTAAGGTGTTTGCAACTGTCGAGAGAAATGTGGTTGTTCATTGTGACAAAATCTGTCATTGATCATCAGGTAACTTTAAAATTCATGCAACCGCAGATATGAATCAGTTTCAAATTCATTTTTTCAAAAATTTCTAAACCTAGTTATCTTTTTCATTTTCTAACAATAAGC